ACTGCACGAGTTGCGTGCCTACAGGCCAACCCCAGTGGGGAAGGAACGAAAACGAGGGGAGTTAAAACGAATGTAGATGTCGGAACCCAGACGAACTCAACTGCCGACGCGTCGACACAGATGACTCCGGATGGGAACCGGAGCATGCCGACATTTCAGGTGTGAGTCGAGTCGAAGGGGACGTTGGTTGTGAGGTCAGATCCGAATTCGAGACGTTAGCGAGTCCAGTGGTACCCCCCGATCGGGAGGATGCCATGAAAGGAAGTGTCCAGATGGAGCATGATTGCGCTGACGAGCGGACTCCCGTCCAGAAGTTAGAAGCCGAGTATGTTCGCAAGAGGATCTGGATCAGGAACCCGGTGTCTACATCCATGAGGGAAGTGAATTGATGTCTCAACTGCGCGATTACCTCATGATGCTGCCTGACTTGCGTGATCTTACTCCCGAGTGTGATATCTCTAACGCCGACGTGGGAGTGCCCGGACGGACCACTCCGACTGAAGAAGAACAGCTGAGAAAGATCCTCGAACGGCACTCCAAAAATTTTCTAGGCGATGGGAATGCGGCCCCTGCTCCAGCACGAGGAGTAGTGTGCGAAAGAGATGTCAGGGGCGCCAAACCTATAGCGCTCCGACCAAGGTCGATTATCCCCAAGGTCGCGATGAAGGTGTACGAGCTGCTGAAGAAGCACCTGGAGACTGGACTTATCGAAATGTCCGACTCCGCCTGGCCCTCTCCAGTCGTGATCGTCCTGAAGAAAAATGGGATTGACATTCGGGTGTGTATCGATTATCGTCTGGTGAACAGCTTCATCGAGTTGTCGAATTATCCGTTGCCCCTGATTGATGATCTCCTGGTCCGATTGGAACGGGCTATGTGGTTCATCTCACTCGACATGGCGAGCGGCTTTTGGGCCATACGCATGAATGAGCGAGCCAAGCGCATATCAGAGTTCGTGTGTCCATTCGGACATTTCCAATGGATCCGAATCCATTCGGGCTCAACAACGCCCCGCTGATATACCAAGAGATGATTAAGAATTATCTATGGGGGTTCGTCAGACTACCTCCAGAAGAGGAGAAGACGGTGGATGCGGATGTGCTAGAGTTCCTAGGCCATACTGTGCTCCATCTCTTTCACTCGGTACCCGAGTGATAGAGTACCTTGCCGGTCGGGCTTGTTGCACTTCTTGATCAGATGCAGCGAGTTTTTGAAGCACAGCATGAGAAATCCGGCCGAGACGTGCCCACCCTGACGAACGAGATGACAGCTTTCAAGCGGAATATTCCAGAGCCATCACAG